AATAATATTACTGCCCACTCACTACTTCCTATGCCACTGCGTTAGGTTGACTGGAAGAAATCTCTTTTAGAGATAAGTTCGCCTTTGCTAACATTGTTATTAACTTATTGTTGTTACTGTATGTTTTAGTGCTATATATATATATATATAATAATTTAAAAGCATAATTTTGAATAAAAATGACGCATCCATTTTAATGTTTCGCAACTCTCGGTTCGTCTGGATAGGGGCCAATGAATAGGCAAGTGGGGTTACCACAGTGGTAACTCGTATATGTCTGACTTTTATCAATATAACCACTAAATGTAATTACGAACGAATCTAGAATGTACTAATACCTATTATGTTTTGTGATCTAGTTTTGTAGCCTCCTTGTCGTTTAGAAGTAATTTATCAGAGGGAGACTTTGTACAAAAGTCGATTGCTTGAGTACCTCTGTCTCATTCGTGTTTCTACCATGAAGCAGTTGTGTCTGCATGGCTGTGATTCGGTTTGAAGGGTGGGATATAGTAGTGAATTTACAAAGTACAGAGGAATAATACCTGAGTCCTCAGGAATGGCAACGCATGGGGGGTATCATGGGCGAAACAGTACACTCTGTTATGTCCATGGTACTGCTCATGTCTATAGGTGACGGTTATTACTATCCATCAGGTAGGCCGTCAGCTTGTTTGCCATTCTAAGTTACATAAAAAACTCTTTAGAATATTTAAAAAAATTAAAACGATGGGCTAACTGATAATCCCAGCTGATAATCCCGTGATAACTGGTGCCCCGGTGTATACCGTTAGCGCAGGTGAGGTTACCATTCCATTATCATCCATTAAATAATATATATGGTATACCCTATCAGATTGATGTCCACGCATTTTCCTTTGGAGACTATCCTGTTAATTGTTGACGAATTCGTCGCAATATAGTCAGTAGGCTGACTTGAGGATCTGGGGGGAAAGGGATTGTTAGTAATGGAGACTGAGAATCCCATTGCTAGCAATATACCCAACCAGGTCGACCTCCTCGCGGTTCCCCCTGGAAACTATCGTGGTTAATTTCTGATAAATTCATCATGATGGACTAACGGGCCTGTTTACATTCTTATCTATCATACTTCACTAGTGCTCCGCCAGCGTATCTTGTTAACGCAGGCGGCGTTACCATTCCATTTTCACCCATAAAAAAAAGACCTAAAGGGGATCTACCATGAAATGTTTTCCGAAATTTCGGGCCACAAATTTTATGTTAACATTAAATAATACATACCGTTTAAAAATATTGAAAATGTTAAAATATAATTCCTTTGGACTTTTACTGTAGGATTTATGGACGAACCAAATGTTAAGCTTCATTTACTGAACCGATTTTTAGTGTGTACGAAAACATTAAATTAAGTGAGAATTCGAAATTTCATTTCATGGTACACCCCTGTTTTCATCCTCACGTATCATCTCTCATTGGAGCCCCGTCAGTGTATACCGATAGCGCAGGTAGGGTTGTTACATCATTTTAATCCATTAATAAATCTCAGTTACGTCCAAATAAGGTATGATACCTTATTAGCCAGTAACTATCCACTGTTATACATAGGCTTTGAAGATTTTACCAGTAGTTGCCACCCTTAGTAGGCGCGTTGGCAACCATACTTAGGCTTTACCTCGATCCCTCGACCCTTAGCTCAATAAATTTCCTCAGTCGCCTCTTACAATACCCACGAGAAAAGGAGTGACCATTTTATGCTAGGATCACATGGAAATATGTCTAAATAAAACCACAAAATAATTCATTAATTAATTTATTGTAATAGGTGACTTAATTGTAATTATTTGTTATTGCTTTATAGTTTTATTAGCTACCCTTAGTAGGCGCGTTGGCAACCATACTTAGGCTTTACCTCGATCCCTCGACTCTTAGCTCAATCAATTTCCACAGACGCCTCTTATGACACCTACGAGAAAGGAAGAGGTGGTCATTTTATGCTAGGATCACATGGAAATATGTCTAAATAAAACCACAAAATAATCCATTAATTAATTTATTATAATAGGTGATTTAATTGTAATTATTTGTTATTGCTTTATAGTTTTATTAGCTACCCTTAGTAGGCGCGTTGGCAACCATACTTAGGCTTTACCTCGATCCCTCGACCCTTAGCTCAATCAATTTCCACAGACGCCTCTTATGACACCTACGAGAAAGGAAAGGAGTGGCCATTTTATGCTAGGATCACATGGAAATATGTTTAAATAAAACCACAAAATAATCCATTAATTAATTTATTATAATAGGTGATTTAATTGTAATTATTTGTTATTGCTTTATAGTTTTATTAGCCACCCTTAGTAGGCACATTGGCAACCATATTTAGGCTTTACCTCGATCCCTCGACCCTTAGCTCAATCAATTTCCTCAGTCGCCTCTTATGACACCTACGAGAAAAGGAAAGGGTGGCCATTTTATGCTAGGATCACATGGAAATATGTTTAAATAAAACCACAAAATAATCCATTAATTAATTTATTATAATAGGTGACTTAATTGTAATTATTTGTTATTGCTTTATAGTTTTATTGTACTTAGTTTTATATTACAGTGAGACGCGTTTATCCAGTGATATGGACTAGAATGTGATGTGCTCGATCACTGTCGGTGAGTAATCACTCATACAAACTATTTTATTTACTTATTTCAATAGGTACACATTAAAGAGAATTAATAATGTTATAATAATTTATACGGTACATATAGTATTATCAAAATTTTGTTCAAGCTAACGCCTCCAAAAATATGCGTACACAGCATGATCAAAACATAAACATACAGCTAAACAAATATGTAAATACATTATAATTTATACAACAAAAAAATTAAATTAAACTATTATTATAAAATGGAGAGATTTCCTTTTGTGTTCTTAATGGATAAACTCAAAAATACTTGACAAATTTATTTTTAATTCTTTTATTTCTAGAAAAATATATTATAAACGAGTAGCATGGGTAGAATTCTATTTTCAAAAAACAGATCGTTAATGTATAATTAACGATCTGTTTTGTAAATATATATTATTTATTTATTTAAATATCAGTTTTTATTTAAAATGAAAAAACAGTACTCTTATAGAATCCCTTCGTTGTCCGTCCGTCCCTTCACGTTTCCGTTAAGACCCTTTTTCTTTGAAACGCATGGAGGTATCAAGTTGAAATTAATATCATATACTCAGGTCTGCAATCTCTTAAAGCAGTAAAAAAATCAAGCTTCTAAATCCAGGCAATCAAAAGATACAGCCGTTTATGTTTCATTTATATAGCATATTTTGACAGTCGCAAAGGGAATCAAAGCTTATAGTACTTCCCGTTGATCAAGAATAATTAAATTTGGCAAGAAGCAATGTCATGGAGCACAAGTGAAGGAAAAAACTCAAAAACCTTAAATTTGTAGTTATTTCACAAAAAAAAAATTAAAACTTGATAATTTTGTACGGAACCCTCGTTGCGCGAATCCGGCTCGACCGGCTTTTTAATTTATATTTAAGCAAAACTTTAACAAGATTGACAAGTCGTGGATCAATCAAAAATACCACTGATACCACCAAGGTGATCCACGAGTAACTATCATTTATATTTTTGAAATGGAAACGGTTAATTAATAAACATAACTAATTATAATAATGTTAATAATGTTATTGTTTAAAACGTGTATTCTAATATATAATAGATTGTTAATCACCTTTAATTAAATTTGACACCAAGCATTATTGATTACATTTTTAATGATCCCACCGCTAGGTTAAGAGGAACTTGTAAAATCAACAACAAATTAAAAATGTTTTCTCGGATACATAATGAAACATTAAATAACATAAATTATTCGTACATAATTTATTTACAGTAATATATTTATTTATAATTACACGTAAATGTCATTTGTTTAGAACAGAAAATATTAATGATTGTTTGTATCTATAATAAGTTTACTGTTGTAATCTTTTGGAGAAAACAATAAAGGGTATCTATCTATCTATTATTTTTTAACCTTGTTACATTAAGAAAGTAAATTAAAAGAATTTGAGTAATTACTCACCAACAGTAATTTAGCTGAAAGTACACTAAAAGTATATATATATATATATATATATATATATATATATATATATATATATATATATATATATATATATATATATATATATATATATAAGCGATTCACCAGCACTAAATACTAATTCTACACCAGTATTTTTTTTTTCAGTTTTAAAATAGACTTACTTATATATATATAACACGTATTTCTTAAGAAAGAATTATTCTAATACACACATAAGTCAACAAGGAGAATATATAATTATTATTAATATTTAATTAGCATTTATATATAATCTATTACTCCAATAACAATATCACATACGGTAATAACTAGACGATAACTAATTTTATTTAAATATAACAATCAACAAGGACATACATTCGATGGTACCATGGTGTAATTACATAAATATTTTTTTTTGTTTGTTATTATTAATTCGTATATTATTAATTATATAATTAATTAATTAATGTGCGTAATGATTGAATATGATCACCGATAGCGCGCGCACTAAACATATTTAATTATATTTAATTAATTATTACAATTAAAAGATCATAATTAATTATATTCGTTATTGAAAACTTTTATTGATCTTACATATGTAATTATACGGTACATATATTAACGACGGTAAACATTACTGGCTTATTATTCAAGTTACTTTAGAATCACTTATTAAAATGTAGAATAAAGTTACACAGAATAGTTAATATGTATTTCTCGCTACAATTAGATTGAAATAGCCTCGTGGTTTTACATTTAGTAGTATATTATATTATATAATATAATAATAATAATATAGTGTCATTCGTATATATTTTTTTTATAGTTTTATTAATTTTAAAATACTACTGGTCGAATACAAAAGCATTGATGCATAGCAATCTAAGGGGACTCCTTAAAAGTAGTTAACAATAAAATACTTTTATAAGTAATAAATTATTTCGCATAATGTACGACTCTCTAAAAGGGTAAAACTATTATAACAAAATGTTGGTTTATAAACTTGTAAAGGTTTATCAAAATTGATTCTGTTTCCAAGTTGACGTCATGGGTCTTGATCAAATAGTCTTGATTTTTGATTGAAAAGTTATAGGGTGTACCTCAGGGGTCTATACTTGGCCCTCTTCCTTTTATAATTATTTTTTTTAATCTAATGTTAAGAGTTAAAAGGAATAGTTATAGAGTTTTTCATTTGTAGATATGCCAATTATAATTGTATTATAAAAGTCAGCAATTAATCTCTTGATTTTATTAATCAGTGCAATTGGAATCTTTCTTGATGACAAAACTGAAACTTGCTTTTATACGTATATCTAAACAATTAATTAACTTTATTATAACTTGTGTCTCTCATATAAATATAATGTAGAGTTTTGCTTATAAACTAACATCCACAGATTATACTACAATCAAGAAATTAAATAATATCCTAAAATCAATGAAAATTTATTTATTTCAGTTCCTTTTTTCTTGGGGAGTGAATCGGAATCTTCTAATAATATACTAGAAGATAAAGCAGATGTTTAACAATGGAGAAATAATGACTCAAATAATGATTATAACAGCAGTTGTTATACAAAATATATATTACAAAAAAAATAGAGTCATGACTTTTTAAAGCGAAATTAGGCTTTATAAGATATGTATATTGTCAGCAGAGTGCTAATTTCTTTTTGGATTCTGAAATCCCAATCGTTATAATTTTCTGAATATTATGTTTCTATGTTTACCTGCATAACGTCAATTTGTAGACAGTTCACAAATACAATTCAAAATTCAACAAAAATATTTAACATAATATTTAAAAGATGCAGTACATTGTACTTTGGACAATCATGGATGCCATTTACAAACATTCAATAACGATTTTGCAAAATATATCTAGCTTGGTTTAAGTCAAAATTTCCTCAAGAAAGATAAATACGTTTGTCGTCTACATTATCTAGTACTGAGTCTAAAATATTAGACGTATTGGAGATCAAATAGATACGTTCATTTTTTTTTTTTTGCCTTTTATTAAATACAAAATTGTGCTATAACTAACTTAATTAAACATCCTTCAATAACAGATTTGATGATAAATTTTAATATTATCAGAATTATTTCCTGGTATGACCTATTCTTTACGTTATTGGAAAGACAAATAGTTTAGCAGTCCACAGATGAAAGGTAATTGCGTATAGACATGAACAATATAATATGAATACCACAACTATGACACTCATGGTGATGCCCATGCGATTCCCAATAACTTAGGTATTATGCTTCTTACGAGTATACCAGGGACTGCACTTAATGTCTAACTTTCGAAACACAATAATCGTGAATTTTGTGAAGTTACATTATGAACTGAGCTTTTTAGTTTCGTACATAATCATATTGACAATGCCATACAATATCTGGATAAATATTTACTCAATTTTGTCACTCTTCTGTATTGTAGCCAGAAAATAACATGGACGTCTTGATTTTATCCTCGCAGGATAACAACTCTACACAAAATAAATTCTCTCCGAACAACGTAACTGTATTGTCTTCATCCCTGTACCATATAAGTATCAATAGATTGGAGACGGAGATGCAACTGTAACACTTTTTGCTGAAACACTGAGAATGTTACATGCGTTTGAAATATTTGAAGGTATAGAAGAGTGAAACACCTTAGCGTATGTTAAATAAGCTAATAATAAAATAATAGTTGAAATTAACAAGTCGCTGTTTGTTAATGATACACCGTTATGTATCGATACAATCAGAATTGTCCCTTTAACTAGCACAAATAGACGTATATATCTGACTGACATCATTGAAAATCTTAATTCTAATAAAAAAGATACACCTATTTAGAGACGTGACATTTTGTTCGACTTAATTTGGCTTTAATAGCACACTGATAGTAAACTACTGTTCGCTCTGATTCATTATTATTTTTAATGCTCAGTTCTTGCAGATGTCCCAACGATTAAATGAAGACATTTCTCAAAAAATTCCCGTCATAACAACAAAGTATCTAGTCAACATCGTCACTCATACAAACAGACAAATATGCGAGTAGACCATTTTGAACTACTTAAAATTACAGATAAATATTAATACTTAAAAATATGCCTACACTAAATTAGAGTAATATTGTCTAAATTACATCGTTTGATTTCACAATTCTAAATCCATCTAGCGAGAGTTATATACAAGATAAGTTTTACAAAAAATAAATAACTATAGCATACTGATTCATTACATACGATATGTCAGGCAGTAAAGTCACTAGGCCACATAATATTGTTTGACATAATCCTGGATGTAAATATGTGTTTAAACCGATATTCTCATTTTATCTCTCGTCAATTTCAACCACTCAGAAATATAAAATGAGTATATATAAAACAGTCACATATCTGAGAGTATTCGATACCTTTCATGTCCCTAAAATCATCGGCCTATCACAAAAGGTCTTTTCAATAAAGCTACCACTTCTTTAGACATCCATTTCAAATTTGTCAATCACTACACATGATATCACACGTCTAAACTACCGAACGAACTTTATTCGTTTACTCTTATCGGATAACATTTAAAAACTTCAACATTTATCGTCATCTAAATACATATTTATACCAGAAATCACAAAAGCAGCATGATACGTGATATAGATTTTATGCTTACATAGATCTTAAATTAAAGTAGCTTGGATATACTTAACATTGTCATTTCTGTTTCCGCAACATCGTACACAATATTGTGTATAGATATTTTTAATAGCATCAATATTGTAACTGTCACGAATAACGAAGATCATCGTAACAGCCTTTAAATTGTAACACTGAATTTTATAGATAACGTAATTATAATTTATAAAGATAGGAGCAAAATAAATTATGAAAGTTGGAGCACTGAAGCTTCACAAGTCACATTTAGTACTATACTTAATATCTAACAATTAATAGTCGTAAAAATTCAAGACGACAAATTGACAGCATTTTCAGTAACACTAATCGTATATGATGTAGTAGTAGTAATTGAGACAAAGCCTTACGTCTAAAGACAGACTATAGAAATGCTCTGACCCATATGCAAGCTATTCGATAATGATACTCCCATTTCGGACTGAAGCTTGCGATCCTCCATATTTCTAAGGACACTCAAAGATGAAGGACTAAAAACGCCTCCGACAATCCTGTTTTAATTCTACAGATTCCAATTACTTGGAAAGTTATAGCTAAAATTTTTATTGTTACACTTACACTTAATGAAAATGAACGTCGAATTAAAAACATTGTATGTAGAATTTCAAAGATATATTGAACATACATATATACTATAGAATTAAAACAGAATATAAGAAATCCAATACTAGTATAGCTTGCATCTAAACACTCTATTGGAAGAGCCTATAAGTGAAGGATATTAGGACACAACAATGAAAATTATTTACCATTCATTTATAAATTTACGTATAAGAGATTTATTTTACGTAACACTACAAAGATGTTTTGATTCCATTTAGTAGGTATTAGAAATCATCATTGGTCCTATAAGGTACTACAATGTTGCTGGTAACATCGATATTCGGTAAAAATAATCTATAAACTATAAAAGACTAGGAAATTATACTAACACTACAATATTGAATATCCCATATCACATTCTTGACGAATTACGTGTCTTACATCGTTTTAAAACATCTAATTGTAATGTTAAAACTTATAGGTATTAAACAATGTAAAGTGATCTTCATTACAGAACAAATTCGAACTTTAGTTGTATTCACACAGCGACAAAAGAATTATTTTATTCGAGGACATGGACATTATTTTAACAAGTAAGTTTTTTTTTTTCTAAATAATTCTCCTGTAAATCTGCAAAGTAAAACCTAAGAAAAGGCATATTTCTAAAACTGTTCAACTCCACAATAGTAAACTTTGTAATCACCTTCATGCCAAAATCTTTCCATTGAAATTATTCGACAACATTCTAACAACATAATTTCATAGATCACGTTTCTCTAACAGGTGTTGGACCCCAGATTTTTAATGACAAACAACAACGTGTATAAACTAAAATTCTTTATAAAATAGGTTTACTCTCTGTTCTAGATCTTAGGGCACCCGAAAACAATCTTACACTAAAGGTAAACAAAAATCCTTTTAAAGGATAACAAGCGATATCAACAAATCTGTCTTTTATCAGAGGTAATGAACGTCTTCTAAAATCTAGCAACTTATCTTCTTGTGCTTAATTCGTTGTGCATATGCACATTTGTATACTAACAATAGTAATTGTATAGGTGAAGCAAACTGTTCTATCCATGCTTCTAAATTGTTTACTGCAGTGACCAAAAAAAAAAATACAATTGACCAAAGTAATTTAAAACATGACTTGTACAGATTTACTCATAATGATACAATATTAATATGATGTAATACATATTAAATCTATGAATTTACCCAAAGCAATTGTTTAAAATAACTATTTGTCTCACCTATACAAAACTTTAGTGCTTTAACATTATTGATAGCACACGAATCCACGGCTCTCGTCCTTATAAATACCTGTTTGAAGCTAATATACCTTAATCGTCTATACAAATAAAAGCAATCAAACATTCATTTACAAAATCTTCGAAAACACACTCTCCAATAGACACGAGCTTACTAATCCATGAACACTTGCATCACATGACCTTCTACAATTAATGTCCATTAACAAGTCACAGACAATATATTAAAACAGGAAGTGGTATGGGGAGTGATGGAAATAAAGGATGATTGAGCATGACCGTGATTGGAAGACTTGAGCAAAAGGAACGGATTCGAACACAACTCATCAGAAATGTACCCGTTGATTCAGAAGCTCTTATTGTTAATCTCGATAGCGGAATAACTAATACAGTAATTACTGTCAAAGTAACAGCAAATAATACAAGTGATAGTAAAGTACAGTTATGTATAGACAGTTCATCAGTATTACATCACAATATTAGATTAACAGTTTAGTAAATAAACGCGGGATGTAGCGGTGGCGGAGGTACGCGCGGTTGCTTGTCGAGGGGAGCACAGCAGGCTGGCTCACAGCACGGCGTGGTGTATGGTGCTGGCACGAGTGTGTATTGCGTTGGTGGACCGTAAATAGCTGGAGTAGCTGGAATTAAACATACTCATTATTATTTTAGATTAAATTTTACTGAGACACCATTATAACTAACAATTCGATCATTTTAATTAAAACTTAATTGCATGGCTGTGTTTCGGTTTTAAGGGTGAGATATGGCGTGAATTTACAGGGTACAGACGAATGACATCTGAGTCCTCAGGAATGGCAACGCATGGGGGGTATCATGGGCGAAACAGTATACTCTGTTATGTCCATGGTACTGCTCATGTCTATAGGCGACGGTTACCACTTTCCACCAGGTGGGCCGTCAGCTTGTTTGCCTAAGTTGTATAAAAAAAAAAGTTTAATTACATCAAACACATCAATACACAGTCCATAATATCGCCCACAATAATTTTTACATTAAATCAGCCATTATCTGTATATTGGTAAACATAAGACTTCCCCATAAAGAGAGTTTATTATGGAGGACAACTTAAAAAAAAATCGTATCTTATATTAATGAGTTTAGTACCCCTAAAGGACCTAATCTTTTTTTTATTGGGTGATAATGGAATGATAACCCCGCCTGCGCTACCAGGATACGCTGGCGGGACACCAGTGAGGGATGACATGCGAGGATGAAAAGACAGGTCAGTTAGCCAATCGTGACGAATTCCACTAGAATAAACCACGACGGTTTCCAAGGGTTTGGAAGTCGACCTGATAGAGTATATTGCGAGAAATGGGTCAATCAGACCCCATTACTAATAATCCCTTTGCCCCCAAATATAACCTACTATTGTTGACCAAACGGTTTAGTACAGTGATGTATCCTTTACACAAATGTATTGTGCGGTATTCCCTCAGACTCGCTCACTCAGAATCACCGGTCAGGAACCGTTGGATATGAAAAGACGAGTTAACTCGTCACCGGTCAGCCAAATATTAGTACGACTTTAGATCTCTTTGTCAAAGGAAACTTACTCTCGAAAGGTAATGGATATACGGCGTAAGGTGGTGGGGGTATCTCGCAAGGCGCACAGGCGGGCAGCGGAGCCAGCGGCGGTGCGCACAGCAGCTGGTAGCAAAGCGGGGCCTGGAGCGGCGTGGCTTCTGAGCTGAGGACTGGCAGCTGGCTCATCTGGAACAAGGGAGGTGGTACCTACGTTAATAACCTTTATTTATGTCTACTTACTGTTTTCAGAGGGTTTACAGCAAAATATCTTGTGTGGTGATAGATTTACGGTATAAATTTCATTTTAAGTAAATTATTTATAGTAAAAATCTAAAAAACATACATACATGAGTAGCTGTTTACCAATTGTTATGTCGAAATTCAAATGTTTTCTCTAAATGTTAATCAAGCTGTGTACACATGTTTTTGAATCGTAACCCAGTATAAAACCATAATTACCTACATATAAACCTAACATGGTTATAATTTGTTACGTGCGCTTCATTAAAATAAAAAATAAATAAAATAAATAAATAAAATTACTTCATATTGTATTTCAACCCTTACTAGCATTATAATCCTAAATATGAAAGTGTAAAGCTTGCAAGAACAATAGTGAAAACCTATTTAGAATTGATAACGTATTCCCGTGAAAGTGCCGCAAAAAATGATATGAATCGAGGACGTGCTCCTTTTAGAAACACCTTATACATAAAGGTAACAAAAAGTGTGAAATTGTGTAAAAAGATCTTTCCGGAAAGATGATTTATGTACAATTTTTGTTTTTTTTTTTATGCAACTTAGAATAGCAAACAAGCTGACGGCCCACCTGATGGAAAGTGGTAACCGTCGCCTATAGACATGAGCAGTACCATGAACATAACGGAGTATACTGTTTTGCCCATGATACCTCCGAAACGTTGTCATTCCTGAGGACTCAGGTATTATTTTTCTGTACCCTGTAAATTCACAGCCATATCCCAACCTTCAAAACTTTTGTTTGAAACTCTGCCTTTTCTTCTTGACTGAACTTATTATAGATTAAGGATTCGAGTTGAGCAATAAATTAAAAAAAGACACGCCAAAAGTCTGTATAGTCCAACCTAAATAAATACATTTTGATTGATTGGCTCTTTATCTAGAGGCCTAAGTTGTCACCGTTCTACTAGATTTTTATATCCAATTTGGAATGATAAACAAACCGACGTCCTGTCTAAAGCTAACTAGTAACTATTACTTATCGTTTAGATATAAAAAATACCATACACAGCGACAGAGCCGTAGAACCCAAGTTTAAAGTAGGGCAAAAGAATTTTTTGATAGGTCAGAAGCCATAATTAAGTGACTAAGCGACTGATTATGGAATGAGCTCCCTGTCGAGGTTTACCCAAGAACCTACATACAGCATGGGGTTCTTCAAAAGGGGGGTAAAGAGGTTTCTTCAGGGTCGGCAACGCACGCTTAATACCTCTATTTTTGCAGGTGTTCATAGGCTACGATAACCACTTACCATCAAGTGGGCCGTATGCTTGTTTGCCACCTCAGTGGTATAAAAAAACGTCGAAAAAGCAAATCTGTCTAATTTTCTTGGGGCCCTTCATTTTAAGGGCATTGGGCCTTTAAAGGTAGCGCATTGTCCCCCAATGCCTCTCCCTAGCTACGTCCATACATAGTGATGATCCTTACCCCTCATGTGTTACCATTTCCGAATATTAAAGTGAATAAGGTTAGGTTTATAAATAAAAAATAAAAAAATCCAACAGGGGGCAAACGAGTATGCAGCTCACCTGATGATAAGTGACTACCGCCGCCCATGGTCACTCACAACAACAACGGCATTGCAAGTGTGCTGCCGGCCTTTTAAAAAGGAATATGCTCTTTCCTTGAAGGTTATGATGTCGTATCGGTTCGGAAATACTGCTGCTGGAAGTTGATTGCAAATATAAATAATAATGATGCATACCTGCTTCCTTACTGCTTGTGCCACACGCAGGCGTCCTAATGGGGAGAACATTACCCCTCCACTCTGTAACAGAAATAGAAAGAACCGTTATTTATTTAAACAAACATAATAGATAAAAGAAACAACTTTAACACCGGGATAAAGATTACTAGAGATTTTTTTCATACAACGTAAAATGGCAAATAGGCTGATAGCTAATCTAATAGAAAGTGATAACCGTTGCCTAGAGGGGGGAAGGGATTGTTAGTAATGAGGTCAATATACCTTGTCAGGTCGAGCTCCACGTGATTCCCTCTGGAAACCATCGTGACTAATTTATCGTTGAATTCGTCACGATGGGCTAACTGACCTGCTTTCATCATCACTGGTGCCCCGCCAGTGTATACCGATAGCGCAGACGGGGTTACCATACCATTATCACCCGTTAAAAAAAACCGTCGCCTTGGACGTCCATCGTGATGAATACACCTGGAGTTCAACACAATGGTTTCCAGAGACGGACCACGTGGAGGTCGATCTGACAGGGTATACTGCTAATAATAGGAATGATAGTTCGAATTAATAACAATCCCTTCCCCCCAGGTTATAAGGTTAGGAATAAATGAAACGGAATAATTCCTACAAAGATCTTTCCTAGAAGCTAACAAAATGGGTTCCTAAAAATCATAACAAAGCTTCTAAAGGGTAATCCATACGTGACATTCTTGATGTTGCAGAAGGTTTGTAAGGTACAATAACCGTTTAATGGCCGTATGCTTCTCTGTCACAATAATAATATAAAAAACATTTCGAAATTGACAGTTTTACATGATTATACCACTGTATATAAAAGAGCTTGTAAACAAGTCTATTTAAATAAAAATCATTTCCATTCTATTCTATTCCATCAATATCATCATCATCATTTTAGACATTATTCGTCCACTGCTGGACATAAGCCTCCCCCATAGACTGCCACAAGGAACGGTCCCAAGCCACCTGCATCCACTGACTCCCTGCAATGCATTTGAGGTCGCCACTCCATCGATGTACATCACTCACTGAAGCCACTCAAAAAAAGGATAAAACTCCATAAAAAAAAAGTATAAAACGCTACCGCTTATAATTTAAACCGTTACAATTTCACCTGAATGCGTACCCTGTACCTTTATTCAATACGACAAAGGCCTAAGTGGTTTCCCGTGTATGTGATTTGCAACTTTACCTCACTTAGTACCTTGACCGGGCGCTATTGATAGAATTGCCGCGACTAGGCTATTTGTTCACCTACAATTTGGACGCGGCGTGAAATAATAAAGAGAATTTAGGGCTTCCCGTGCATATATGAGTAGATTATGCCAAAAAAAAACAGCCCGAATATGTCACTTGTAAATTATGGTGATTAGTGATTACGCTGTTCTTATTTTAAAATGATTTTTTAGTTTTAAAACTTTTTTTTTTAAAAAATAATGTGATAGATACAGTATTTGAATTACTTGTAATCGACCAAATTGGTACAACATACATTTGCCAGAGGGAGACTTTGTACAAAAGTCGTTTGCTTGGACACCTCTGTCCCATTCGTGTTTCAACCGTGAAGCGGTTGTGTTTGCATGGCTGTGTTTCGGTTTGAAGGGTGGGATATGGCGTGAATTTACAGGGTACAAAGGAATAACACCTGAGTCCTCAGGAATGGCAACGCACGGGGGTATCATGGGTGAAACAGTATACTCTGTTATGTCCACGGTACTGCTCATGTCTATAGGCGACGGTTACCACTTTCCATCAGGTGGGCCGTCAGCTTGTTTGCCATTCTAAGTTGTATATAAAATTTTTTTTTTAGCAATAAATACTTCAAATGCAATAATCTGTATTCAAGCAAATCAAGTTATCGTTCAATTAATTATTTTATTATATTAATAGGATGTGTGAGTTTTTTTTTTATGGGTGAAAATGGTATGGTAGCCCCGCCTGCGCTAACGGGATACGCTGGCGGCGCTGTCAGTTAGCCCATCATGATGAACTCATCAGGAATTAACCATGATAGTTTTCAGAGAGAACCGCGAAGAGGTCGACCTGATTGGGTATATTGCTAGCAATGGGATTCTCAGTCTCCATTACTAACAATCCCTTTCCCCCCAAACTAATGTGTGAGTTTATTTGTTTGTTAGATCATATCATTTTAACAGTTCGACCAATTATAATAACATTCTGTATACAGAGTACGTACCATATGAGATGGAAATGGCCGTAGTCTATATTTTATCCCGGTCAACCGACATACCCCGGTCACGCGACCGAGCTCGCGGGTAAGAGCCAGTATGGAAAATTTATTATTTTCGTCTTTCCTCCTCATCCGGGCCGCAGAAGTTTTTGCATCGATTTTATTCCCGCGTAACCTGGGTGTAACCTCAATTTTCAAACATCCAAGGGGCCCTTAAAGTTAACCGGCCTTGTGAATATAATTGTTATTGTAACGGATAAATCTACGGGTATACTCAGATCATTATAATTTATATATATATATATATATATAGGTATATATCCCTTTCAGACCCAAGATTTTTTTTCTTTCAGATTAAATATATTTTCGAGTTTTGGAGCCAAGCCATCTTGCCGGCACGCACGAGACTACTGCACTACCTATACACACACACACATACATATATATAATAATTTGACAGCTATGTTTTTTTTCTGCAATGGACATTTAAAAGGTATCCAGACATGATCATATATATATATATATATTTATTGTTACTACATATTACATATGTATATATATATATATATATATATATATATATGTATTTATATATATATATATATATATATATATATATATATCCATAAATAGTATATTATAATATTCCTTATTAATAAAAACTAACACTTTCCACAGACCTGTGTTAACTATTACATTGTTTTATCACTGTCCTTCAAATTACGAATTTAACACAATAGACAAAACAGTTTGACAGCTAAAATAAATTTATAAGAGACTTGACGTTTTTATGAATAAGATATTCATATCTATAATCTACTTTGAATGATTCATTCATTCATTCTATAATCTACTTCGATAGAATTTAATAAAAATGTAAACAAATTAATAATTGAAGCGACCGTTTAAATAAAAAAAAAATCAATTAATTGGTTGAAAGTGTTTCATTGATAATTTAAATAGAATTTCCTGAAGTTCTACTGACCCAGATATGGGACACTTGGCTTATGTATATACTAACATTATGAAAAGGAGAGATTTAATGTTTATATGCTTATTTATATATATTAGATAAAGGGAGAAAGTTATACAGTAATATTTTACATTTACATAAGTTATATATTTTATTTATTTATTTACACTATATTGCACCGAGTGAAAAAAGAAATAACAAATACAGTAAATATAAATGAGAAGTGATACAAAAGGCGGCCTTATCGCTAAGCAATCTCTTCCAGACAAACTTTGGGTAGAGGACATTGAGAAAAAGACAAAGGGTAGGTGGCGCACTATTATATAAATATTATCATATACAAACATACATACATACATACACACATACATATATGCACAATTAAATATATACATAACATACACATACTTAACAGCACACATACAACAGAAAAAAAATTACGAAGGAAAACGAAGAGAGAACACAGGAAAATAGTACTAAAGTGAGAGGTAGTAAGATTTAACAGAGGTTTTGAAGCTAGTAAGAGTTTGAGCGCACCGAATAGAGGTAGGTAGTGAGTTCCATAGGCGAACTGCCTGAACAGTAAAGGATTTAGAATAAAAGGAAGAAGAATGAGTGGGAAATTTAAGTCGGAGGTTATTGACATTGCGTAAAGTATGATCATTAGCCTCACTGAGAAACAAGAATCGGTCTTTTAGATTATCACGAGCAGCGGGATTAAAAAGGATTGCGTAAAGAAGAGACAAGTATTTTTTATTTAGTTTTTTTTTTTTTAAATAGAGATCCCTACGAAAAGTAAGAACAATATTTTTGGGTAGAGAAGAAAAGAAAGAGGTGGTAGCTATTTGGCACAATAAGTATAATCTATTTAAACGCTCGTATTAAAAAAAACCATATGAATTACTATACATAAGTACCTAAATTACTTAAGTACTTATATATATATATATATAGTTAGCCCATCGTGACGAATTCAACAAGAATTGTTCACGATGGTTTCCAGGGGGAACCACGTGGAGATCGACCTAATATTGCTAGCAATGGGGCTGGCAAACTCCATTGCTCCCAATCCCTTTTCCCCCTAAGTACTTATATTATAGATTACATAAATAAATATTATAATAAATAATACAGTTTATGTAGTTTATTTTATATACAGCCTTTTTTCCGGCCGTCCATTAGCATTTTTTCCATAATAAAGCGAACTATTACTGCGCAGTTCCGACATATTGAAAGGATGAATAAAGTACCAGGCAAGCAGAAATGTAAAGGAATAGCTTAGTAAGTCGGTCGAGGGCCCTCGGCCGAAGTAATGTGTATCGACACCCTTAAAAGAGGTCAAATTAGGAGTAATCTGAACTGAGGATACAAGGGATGCAGGAATGTAGAGGAAGTATTAAAACTATGTATATTTAATATCAAATAACGATATATCGCTACAAATAAGTGACCTTTATATAGTTACTAATTAAAAACAAATTTATTTTATGTTAGATTTTATTTATTTATTAAATAATACACCAAGAAAGTGTAAATGGCGAACTTATGGTTTGTGAAGGGGTTTTTGTAATATTTTTATGCCCAAGAACATAGGGATATATATATATATATATATATATATATATATATATATATATATATATATATATATATATATATATATATATACAAATACCATGTAATGTATGTAATAAATAAAACATGGCAACTGCTGGCAAAACCCCCCAAGGGGGAGGCTTATGTTCAACAGTGGATGATGATGATGAATGTATGCAATATATAGATAGATAGACACTCTTTATTGTTTCCTCCAAAAGATTACAATAGTAAACCTATTATAAATATAAACAATTACAAGATAGGCTACTGTTTATCCTAGTCAAGCGA